CTAAAGAACTGGCAAATATTATATGTACACCATTATGAGTTATGTTGTTAAAAAAACTTTAAAAATTTTTTTAAAAAGGCAAATCGCTGAAAGCTGGCTCAAATCCCAGTATAGTCAAAATCTTTTTATTGACATGTTTTTTTATGAGGATGACAGGAAAGACTGGGGCAATGTCTCTGTTACTCTAATAAGCCTGGTTTTTATGCTTTAGCAGAAAGATGGGGCACTAAGCATGACACAGGGTACTTTGTGCTGCAGGTGTATGAAACGTTTTTCTACCTTTTCTCATAACAACCAGAACTACTGGGTGGTCACAGAGGTCTGAGCACCATGAATGTGACTCTGTTATAACCGGCTCTTATCACCGCATCTCTTTTCCTTCTTCAAATCTTTATCCACTGCACTCTGTGAACTTGCATTAACAGGCAGTTTGCACAAGGAAATGAAGAAAGGACTCTAGACAACAAAGTGTGAGGTGGGAGTAAAGAGAGACACAGCCAGTGTAGAGTGAGAGCGTGTGTATGTGTCTGCTCCATTGGGCCTTAAAGTGTAGTGTGAGGTACTGACCAGCGACCGCTACTGTTTGTTTGACTGCTGCCTTCCTGACCACTATTCTGGCCAGACTGCGGAAAAACAAAGTTTATCTAACAGTGAAAGCTGGGATGCAAACCAATCACAGGCCACATTCTGGTGAATTTTTAACATGAGTGTGAAAATGATGACAAGAAATTAAATAACAATTTCTCAGTTGACCAGTCAGTTTAGCCCCTACAGCTCAGTTCAGGTAAAAGACTTTGGCAGGGCCTCGTTTTCCACCCACGTGTAACAAAGCAATACTTTCTTGGTGTATAAATCAGTGTGTATGTGTTCCTGTATGGGAAATTATTTAGGGTGCGAAAGCATTTTACTCTAGTGTGTGACTACTGTCCATTCATGGATTTATTTTTTTTTTTTCGTACAATGCAAAAACACCTAAATACTCACATAATATGGCTCACACAGTCAAAGATAACAACTGTGGGTCAAATCCAGTGCACGATTGTTCAATTATGACAGAAGGTATACATATCTGCACAAAACCTTTACGGGTTCCTTTGACTATGCGTCTCCTAGTTCGGCTTGTTCCCCAGCCAGTTTGAAGTGTAGCCTCAATTTCTTGTTCTTAGCTAACAGGAGAGGCACCCGGTGTAATGTTCTGCTGCTGTAGCCAATCTGCATTAAATGCGTGCATATAGAGGTTCTCTTATGCATACCTTAGTTATAATAAGTAATTATTTAAAGTATTGTTGCCTTGCTATCAACTTGAAGCATTCATAGCATTCTTCTCTGGCATCTGGCATTAACAAGGCAGTTTTATCCAGAGAACTGTTGCTCGCTATTTTCTCTTTGTAAGACAATTTTCTGGAAAACCTTGAGATGGTTGTGTAAGAAAATTCCAGCAAATCAGCAGTTTTTTGAAACGGTCAGACCAGCCCGTCTGGCACCAACAACCATGCCACATTCAAAATCACTTAAATTACCTTTTTCCCCATTCTGACGCTCAGTTTAAACTTTAGCATGTCTATATGCACATATCTGCCTAAAAGCACTGCGTTTGTGTCATGTGACTGGCTGATTAGACTCAATTTGTGCCATGTACTACCCATCAGTTCTAGAAAAAAAATCAGCTTTTCTGTCTCGTGTTACTTAAAAATTGACTTTGCTTTCTGTATCTGAACTTGTTAAGGTGCTCTGACTACAACGCTTCTAATCTCCTTTGTAGAAGTGCGCTTCAGAACTACTGAAGTATACCTAACAAAGTGGCCAGTGAGTGAATTGTCTTGCTGACAGACAAACAGACAAACTGCGTTGATCATGTAAATAAAAATTAAATATAAAAAACAGCCATATTTCCTCATCACAGTTAATGCTGAAGTTATTTTAGGTCATTATTTTATTTCCAGTGTACTTAAGTTGTTGTGGCAATAAAGCTTACTGAAAGCAAAAATGAAAACCCTCAACAATTTTCCACATAGGTCAGTCAGGAATCTGCAGGCCGACCTCTGCAGTCAAATGGGATCATTACTCGGGAAAAGAAATATGTCAAATATGCTACTGCTGTTTCAAAAAGCACAACTCTAATTCCTCTGAATTAAATTTAATCTAAAGTTAACATTATTCATAATCACAGATTACCTAAAGCTTTGAAAATGTGGAACATAAAAAATCTTTAATCTGTTTAAACATTCTTTAACGATTCAGAGGGACATGATAAGGTCAGTGATAAGACAGATCTCACAGCTGATAGCAACAGGGAAACGAAGTACCCTGACATAATGGGCTCCATTGTAGCCGGTGTGTGTGCGTGAGTGTGCTTGTCCTCTGACCCCACCCGGGATAATTAAGGACACATTTTACCCAGATACCCAGGGGCCTGTGTAATGTGTGTGTGTGTGTGTGTGTGTGTGTGTGTGTGTGTGTGTGTGTGTGTGTGTGGACCATCGTGTGCCACATCCCATTCCTTGTACACAACGACCTAACCTGCCCTCCATATGTCTAAGACCAATGCTTCTGGGCTGATTGGCCATATCACTTTCACTCACCAGCTCACATGCAGACACACACATGCACAGTGAACACACATATAAGCACACACCCATACATACAAAAATACACACAGAGGCACACACCTTCAGAGACCAAGCCCTTGTAAAGGCACCTCCTTAGGGGAAAGCTCTGAAATGTACTCCTTGTTAGGCACTGGGAGTGGGTTTTGTGTGTGTGTGTGTGTGTGTGTGTGTGTGTGTGTGTGTGTGTGTGTGTGTGTGTGTGTGTGTGTGTGTGTGTGTGTGTGTGTGTGTGTGTGTGTGTGTGTGCGAGCGTGTTCATCTGCTTTTCCTCATCTGTTTCCTGCAGCAGACCAATAGTCTGTGAAAGCCTCTCTCTTTCTGCTCAAAGCTCACTGCTGTTCTACTCAAAAATGACCCCCCAAAGGTTTACACAGTAACATTGTTTAAAAGCAAAAAAACACAAAACAAAACAACAAAATTGGATTAAGAAATTAATACAATTTGGTCCACTCTTCTCATACAGCTCTGTATAAGAAGTATGAAATGAACTGAAACTTTATGACATGCCAAATTCAGAATGTAATGGCGCTACTTTTCAATAAGACTCCCCTTATTGATGGCTAATAAATAGTTTATAGATGTGTTATTAATTATCTGTAAACACTTTATGCAAAAATAAGCTGATTGTTGGACATTACATTAGAAAACTGTCCAAAATATAATCAATAGATCAATCAGTGATTTACAACAAAGACAAATTCAAAGGATAGAGAAAATGAATGAATCAATTGATTGTCCATTTTCAAAACAGAATAAAGAAAGTCTGGCTGATGGACTTATGCACACATAAAGTGAACACACACACACACACACACACACACACACACACACACACACACACACACACACACACACACACGCACACACACATAGAAGTATGCTTGATTTCTGTTCTTATCACCGTCCCTGTTTTCATTGGATTCTTTTATTAGATGGGTGATACTTATGAGGTTGCTATGTAGTGTTAAAAGAATTCAAAGTATTGTGCTGACATTTCTAAATGACTCAAACACACCACAAGTCTGCTTCTGGTTAACCCTGCATTGATAAAATTATGGTTTATAGAAGATCTCCTTTAAACTAAACTATTTGGACTCAAAGTTGATAAAGACCATCTATCAGTCAGTGAGTTATTCATTCGTAGGGCTGATTAGCAGCACCGGTTTCCATAAATCCAATGCAATAACATCCAAAAAAATTGTTTTCTTTATTTAAAGACAACAGTAAGAGACACAAATTCCCACTTATATGTATAAATGTATATATATGTGTGTGTTTCTGGACTCTGCCCTTTCAGTTCTGGGAAGACAAGCTAAATTCAGCTTTTCTGGGGCTTCTGTTCACCTCTTCCTTAACCTGCTAGGACCTGGCGTCCACATATGTGGACATCACATTTTGAGTTGTTTAGACCAAAATACTACATTTTGCTCTACAAGTGTCTGATATCCACTTATGAGGACATTATACTGCTATTGTTCTATCGAAATTTAAAGCGAATGCCCTCATACAGTATGTGGATCTCATTTTTCTCAGAAACAAAAATGAGGTAAAAAAAAAAAAAAAAAAATCACGTAATTCTTTGTTTTTACATTCATCCGGTCCCAATCAGCCCAAATAGCAAAGAGAAATTAAAAATGCATGCCATGAAAGAGTTCGGGTCTTAGGAGGTTACGATGTCTTTGTTTTCTCTACCTGAGTTTGCTAAGCTGCTCTGACTAAGAAGTCTCTAATCTCCTTTGTAGGAGTGCTCTTCAAACAAAACTGGAATTAAAGTCATTATATCAAATGGATAAAAGTAATTATTATTACCCTGCCACCAAGGGAGCAAGCCAACAACCACACTGGAACATCCAGCCACGCACCCCAGAACAAACAAGCACCCACATCCCAAAGACGGGCAGAAGCATCCAGCCGGGAGCAGGACCATGTCCCACAGGGGTCAAGGCTTAGTGAGCCCCAGGCCCCACCATGCACACTCACACTCACACACAGACACAGACTCACACACACTCACACACACACACACACACACACACACACACACACACACACACACACACACACACACACAACACACAAACACAGACCATTCACTCATTCAGTCATTTTGAAGGTAATTAAGTAAATTTGTGTCCAGGAGTTTTGGTCTGGACTGAAGGAAAGATCTCATTACCACTTTACAAATACACATACACATAGAAGTATCCACGGGGAGGAACTCGTGGATTTGGGATATTATACGTATATAGCGGCATTTATTGTATCTAATAACACACTAGTAAACCAACAACCCACACTGCATATTATAAAGCTGATACTCCAAACACTGATCACAGAGTTCACTGTTCATTGTTTTTTGTGTGTATTTTGTGTAGATTAGAGAACACCAACCTGCTCCAAAAGCAAAAAAGAAGCTCTTGTCTGGGTGTTCCTCAAGCAGAGCCTTGACCCTCTTGCCCATCCTTTCATTTCTCTTGTAGATGAGTTCCTGTCGGAAGTAGCTGTCTATTTCCTGGGCAGTGGCCTGCTCATTGGGTGGCAGTGTCACATTATTGAAGTTAGGGACCTATAGTTCCCAAGGTAGTTGGCCATGAAAGTAAAGCACAGAAGACATGATTGTTTATTTATAGGTTATTTGCAAACCTTTGACTAAGGTTGAATCAATAAAAAATCTGAAATTCTTAAGACATATCGTTCAAGGGTTTTTACTTATTTATTTTCTTTACATGACTGATGGTACAATTGACTTAAAAGCCTTTGGACTGACAAAGATCTCATGAGATTGGCAGGAGAAACATATAGCAATGGTGGCAAAGAAAGAACAGAAGTAGCTAAGTATGGAGAAAGTGCATGTGTACGCTGGGGGGGTGTGGGGTGGTGGAAGAAGAAGGTGAGGTGGGTCAGTAGGTTAGGGGTGAAAGTAAAAGGTTAAGGGTTGTGCCAGTTGGACAAACCTAAGATCAAGGGGTCAAAATGAATCTAAGCTTATTAGACAGACTGAAAGTTACAGATAAGATAAGATAAGATAAGATAAGATAAGATAAGATAAGATAAGATAAGATAAGATAAGATAAGATAAGATAAGATAAGATAAGATAAGATGAGATGAGATGAGATAAGATAAGATAAGATAAGATAAGATAAGATGAGATGAGATGAGATTGTGGATGATCTGACCTGTGATGTGTCATGATTGAAGATAATGGAGTTGAGATCTCCACAGTTGTAGTGCCTGATGAGGTCTTCAGTGGTATATGGGACCTGTAGGCTTCCTGCCCTTAAAGACTCCTGTTGTAATAAAGTCTGGTTCAGGGCAAAGATCACCTAAAATAAGACAGGGATAACCAATTAATGAAAGATTTATTTCTACCTCCCTCTAAGACCCAGAGGTTTTTCTGGGCTCAAAAATATGAAGATCAAGCAAATTAATGTCAATTATATGTGTAAAATACAACTTCTAACAATCAAACAAGCAGCGAGTCAGCAACCTCACACATACATGTGACCATTGGTATGTTCTGGTGTAATTACTGGATACCAGCAATAAACAGTGCCCTCTCAACTACAAGCCAAAGCAATCTTTGAACAGTTATTGGCTGTGCAGTGTGCCACTGCTAAAACTGCCATGCAGCTGAAGAATGCTATTGTTGGGAACCATTTACTGATGACAGTTGTATTCAGGAGGCTTCATTCTGTGACTCTGAGGTTTTATTTCAAGGCCTGCCAAACAAGGAGACAATCAAATTGAGAGTTAAAGATATTCCCAGATCAGCTGTTGAGCAATGCAACACAAAAAAACAAAAACAACAAAGAAAGAGGATCAAGAGAAATGACAGCACATGTGGCTGTCAATGCATGACAATGTCAATTATCCGTAAGAGAGAGGAGCTCTGCTGCTAAAAAAACACAAATGTCTGACAAAAGGTGAGAGGATAGCTCACCTAGAGCGGAAAATCTTGAGAAGCGAGGAATCCACATAAGGAAGATTTTTGCTGTGATGATATGTAGTGGTAACTGCCACAGTGGGGAAATGGAGAGGAGCTATCAGTTTCAACATAGCGCAGCATGCCTAGCCTTTTGGAGTCCAGCCTGGTTTAGAGTTAAAATGATCCATTATCTGAAAACTATTTTATGTACACTCTTTATAGGATTCCATTTAAAAGTTGTTGAGCTATACTAGTCTGACCGACAGACACTGTCAGCAAACAGCAAACATGTTAAATTTTAGGCAAGACTGGGCATAAAATTCTGATTTACGTGTCCTATTGAATTAACCACTTTAAAAAGGACACTTTTTTCTGCCTGGACCCCTTTCAGCTTTGCAGCACAGATTCAGCTTTTGTGTGAGCATGAAATCAGCCAGTGTTTGGTTAGAGAGGCCTGGTGAGATGAAAGACATATGCACACATGCACATGCAAATATAGATATACACAATTACACATCAGCGCACGCACATGCTCAGAAAGCTGTACAGTCTACACATCAGACTTGAGACAGGGGTTCGTACAGAAAGCACCGCCAGTCACCTCAGTGTATGGTCTCCCTCTGATCTCTCACCGCACACACACAGACACATGCACACAAACGCACACCTTTCACCCTGGAAGCCATTGATCTCAATCCCAGTGACAGAAGAAAGTTTTGTATAGTTTATTTGCTTCTCAAAAGGAACAATGAGTCAAAGTGAATACGTTTTTGGTTAGCAGTGGAACTATGTAAATTTGTCCACAGTATGTCAGCATGTTTTTGCAATTCACCAGTTTGTGTGTGAAGCCTCAGCTCTTGAATTCTGTAACGATATGCGTATCTGTATGCAAGGCGGACCTGAGTGGCTATTTTTTTGTTATGTTTTTGCTTTTTATGTTCTGCTTTCTAAGGTGCTCCGATGACACTTTTCCCCCTCGGCTTCCCCTTTGTGGGAGCCTCCTTATAGCTGAAGAGAGCAGGAGAGGAGAGCAGCGTGGAGCAGATGCCTTCTTGTCAGGGGGACAAAGAACCCCTCCGTCACCCTCTCTTCTCCTCTCCTCTGTGCTCCCTCCAGCTTTCATCGGCCGCGCATCAAAGTGGAGCTCTGCATATGAAAAGGACCCCCGTCTTTATGCCACGCAAATTAGCCTATCGCCGCCCCTCCCCGACTCATTTCACAAAAACACCCTCACATCTGTGCCATCTCCGTGAAGGAAGGCCCTCATCTGCAGGGTCTCCCCTTTTTCACTGCTCTCCCTTCTCCTCTTTCTGTGCTCGCCATGCCTTTCAGCCCCTTAAATTATGGTAGTGAAGGGAGAGGAGGAGGGAGCGGAGGTGTGGGTGAGGGGGAGGATCAGTCATATATAGGCAGCTTAAAGTACAAAAAAAAATGCGGGGAAGGAATAAGACAGACAGAAAGAAAACACTAACCAGAAAGTGAGGAAACAGAAAAAAAGCAGTAAAGTGGAGGACTGAAAGGAAGAAAACCTTAACAAATCATTCCTTTCTTTCTGCTGTAATCGTCCTCTTCTACTACTCCATTGCGGGTCAGCGGGTGCTTTTTCCCCACTCGGCTCCTTTCATCAGATCCCCCTGTTTCTTCTGCTGTCCCCTAACCCGCCCCCTCCTGCACACACAGACAGACACACAGACACACCCCTTGCTGATATCAAAGAAAGCGGAGCCAATGAAAGTCAATAATTGTCCTTTGTCATGGAAATCTCCCCTCTTGTGGAGATGGAGTGGGGTGGGTGTGTGCATCTAGAGCAAACATCATCACGGTCAGATTCCCACATGTGGAGATTTGGAGTGTTCAAAAAACTCTTGCTGCTCTCGCCCTGGAGTTTGGAGTCTTAGTTTAAGGTTTTGAGTTTTGTAGAGTATTGTTAAGGTGTTACACCTCCTCAACTATTTAGTAAAAATTGTCATTTGGTTGCGAGCCAAGTGGAAAGATGCTTTAAATCATGTGAAGGAACATGTACCAGAGCCAAATGTTGATTTTCTCTAAAGCAGAGGTGTCAAACATAAGGCCCGGGGGTCAAAATCGGGCAAGCAAAGATGCCAGTCCGTTTCACTGGAAGGCTTTTTTAATTTTGAACTTTTCAGGATATTTTCATACGTTTTACAGCTTTTTTCTATTAATAAAGATCCCTTGTCATTCATTCTACACCAAAGTTAGATAATGGACAAACAATTAAATGAAAAGTTCCTGCTATAGATATATCTACTGAATCATTTGTCTAGGTGTCTTTCTTTAAAAGAAACACAATACTTTTTAAAAACAAATAATTTTTGCTATCTTGACAAACTAACATTGTCCATTAACGACACAGATGAGCAGGACTGATAATGTTTGCTCTCTAAAGGCCCCAGTATACCCACCAGGTTGCTGGCTTCACGGCCTCATTCATTTATGCTCTCTGTTATGGCAGCAAAGCAGGTAGCCACTACATTATTTTCCTGATCAGAGAACTACATGTGCACTGATGTAGGAGAAGAAGAGATCAAAACAAGGAGAAAAAAACTGCTTTTTCCAGTTTTGTCCACAAAGTATCATCTTTTCAACTGTTCCAACATCTCCCTTTATATAATCTGTGAATGTTTGAGCATTTCTACTGATATACCATTAAAACAGCAGGAAAAAAAAAACAACACAGTCATGTCTTCAAGCAGGTTACAAAACTTGATAAGTGCACGACCAAGAAACGGTGGCTAGTGACAGCAGATTTGACGTCAATTCACTGCACTGAATATAAAATATCCCTAAGTCCAAAATTAGCATTAGCATTTTATTGTTAGCCAAAGCCACTAGACCCTATTTTAATGATAGCACGTGGCAGCTCTGTAATTAATCAGGTAACATGTGTCCAGGCTAACAACTGTATGACAACTGTTGATAAAGAGTGGGCTGTTGGTCTTTTAATAAGCATCACCAAGTTTGTTGCACTACTTTTCATGTGTTCAGCTGCTAGTGAGGGGAAGGGCTGTGAGCCTGTCAGCTTACAGTGGGGCGGTGTAAAGCAGAGCGTCAGCTGGTGGAAGTGAAGAAAGCACTGTTGATTTCAATACTGCTGCAAATGAGTATCTAATGCGATATAATCTGTGCTTTTTCTTTATCAATTAGTATTCGAGTATCAGTGTTTTTTGGTTTGGTGTCAAAAGGTATCGAAACTTTCAGTTCTGGTGACAAACCTATTCAGTACTAATGTGATGGCACCATAAATAAGTCAGCACAATTAATTCCATAACACAGGAATAATATAGGAATAGGAATAGTGTCACAGTTTAGAGAAGGACCTCTTTTGTATCCAGGGAAAGACAGCGGCACAACAGCCAGCAGCATTCAACACTGGTCTGCTTCATGTTACTTTAGGTTCAGTATATTTCGGCCTTAATGCTGCCATCATAATCACCATAATCATAACAAGCAAAGATAAGATGACTTTACGTCTTTAATCTCGCCAACAATGTCATCAACACATTCGGTCTGTATATAAATCTATAGACTATGTAAACTATACGAGAGATCATGTCATAATATGAATCTGGCATAATGTGACCAACATGTAAACACAAAGCTATATTCCTTTTATGGCAAAGCCTCCAGCTAATTTATGTTATTCTGATTGTAAGAGCTGGCACTGAGATTTAGAGAGTGTTTGACTAGTTTAATTTTCAGCTGGGCTTTAATGAGACACTAAAGATGAGCATGTGTGCTGGTGCGTGCAAGTGTCTTTGTGGTTTTTTGTGATTTTTCCAAATATTCTGTTTTTGCGTGCCTAAGTGAGCAGAAAAAGCATATGGAGTAACACACGTTTTATAAAGTAGGCAATCCACACTGCTGACAAACCATGTCCTCAGACAGATGCGTGCACACACACACAGAAAGAGAGAGAGTGAGACAGAGATCTTCCAGGCAATCTCCCAAGTACAAATGAAGACTCCCAACAGCTCCTCGGTTTCCTACTTGCTTGTGATGCTATCACAGTAATACAAGTCTCCTTTTCTCTTTATCATACATGCACATAAATAAGACAGAAACAGGCACTGAGTATGATTTATACCAGCAACAGTAAAAGAAAGGTTCAGACCAATAATAGAGAAGAAAACAAAGAAAAAAAGGGAGAGAAAAAGAAAAGTAGTGAAAAGACTTTCACTACTGTTGTTATCGATGAAACCTCAGGATGAGAGTATAGACGAAGACGAATGCAGGCAGAAGTAGGCAGAGACGGGGATTCTGAATTACTTATGAGTGATGTTATCAGCGAAATGTTAGTCAGAGCAGTCAGCCCTAAAACAAGACCCATCAGGAGCACAGCAGCACTGCTAGGACTTCACAAAACAGTGATTCGGAGAC